GAGCTCTGACACGTGGATGAGCTGATGGGGTTCCATGTGGCAGAGCTCAGTCAGGTCTGGGTTGTGGTTCTTCCCATCTGGGTAGAGGTAGCTGGGGAGGGAACAGAGGGCTACAGAGGGGGCCCAGCCCGCCCCCCAGACTAACAAGGACTCCCCCAGCCCCACCCCGGGGCCCAGAGCTCCTGAATGAGCAGTTGCCCCACATCTCTTGCTGGCCTGGGGATATTTTTCTCCCTCTCTCCTCAAACTGACACTCTCTAGGTCGGACCAGCTGTGTCCCCTCAGTCCCCTGGGGCAGGGCCACAGGCCCTCAGACCCCCACAGACTGAGCACGCATCACCTAAGTGACTCGAGCCCTGGGAACATGGATCAGATGAATGAGAACCAGGAAACGGATCAAAGTCCAGGCCTCCTTCTCCCAGAACGTCACCGTCCTAGTCTTCAGGCTTGAGCATAACAGCATCTGAGTCACAGATTCCTGGGGTGACCAGATCCTAGAGTCTTGGACCAGCAGGGCTACCAGGACCCTCCTGGACACCCACGCTGCTTCCTCTTGCTTCATAGCTGGAGACTGAGGCCCAGTGTGGGAGAGGCGACTACCCAAGGTCACCAGTGAGGCCCGGAGGGACGCAGACCAGGGCTGTGGGCAGGTCCAAGCTCCAGGACCCAGGGCAGCAGAGAAGGCTCAGCACCTTTGGGTCTCCCATTGAGGTCAGAACTGCACCTTCAGACCAACAGCGGGGTCACACGTCTCCTAAAGCTGATGGCTCTGCTTGACCTGGGCCCACAAACAGGGGCAGCTCTCGCACAAACACACTGTGTGACCTGCACTGGGCAACTCTCCCTCCCTGGCCTCAGTTTTCCCTTCTGTAAAATGGACATACTCATGCTTAGGGCAAAGATGGGCGGTACGGATTAAATAAGACAGTGCAGCACTCCTTCTCCACACATAAACGAACAATAGAGGGAACTGCTATGATCAACGTCAGATCCAGAAAGCCGACTGGCCGTGGGGTGGAAAGAGCTGGTGTCCCTTCCTCTCTCTCAGGGCTTCTATTTTCCCATCTGTGAAATGGTGGTGGTGATGGTGTGTGTGTGTGTGTGTAGCAGGGAGGTTAAATGACATCGACAGTGCTCACTCTTATTTTAACTCTGGTACGCTCTTCTCCAGGAGGTGCCACCTGGAACTGAGGACATGGGAGTGGGAAAGGGCCAGTACTTTGAGCCTGGCCGTCTGGCTTCAAATCCCAGCTGGTCAGTTCAGTCACTGTATGACCTGGGCAAGTGGGTCTGTCTTTCTGTGCCCCGTTTGTTAAATACAATAATATGTGTGTGTCTGTGCATGTATGTATACGGACACACAACCGATGTTTATTACTCATGGGTTCTGTATTTGGAAATTTGCCTATGCACTAAAATTTGTGACCCCCGATCAATACCTGTGGCGCTTGTGTGGACGCGCACACAGTGGCAGAAAACTCCAGGCACCCAACAGGCAGGGTCCCAGTGAGGCTGAACGGGGCAACACTTGCCCACCTTGTTCGACTCCCACCCTGTACACCAGTGTGCTTTTCACCGTCTATTCAGTGTCTCTTGCATTTTTGTGCTTTTTTGTGTGTGATCTAGAGTTTAAAATGCCCCCAAGGCATAGTTTCGCTGTGTGTTCATTGTTAATGAATCAGCAATATACAGTATATTACAGCGTGGCTCAGTGGTTGAGCATCAACCTATGAACCAGGAGGTCACGGTTCGATTCCCAGTCAGGGCACATGCCGGGGTGGTGGGCTCGATCCCCAGTGTGGAGCGCGCAGGAGGCAGCTGATCAATGACTCTCTCTCATCATTGATGTTTCTATCTCTCTCTCCTTTCCTCTCTGAAGTAAATAAAAAATATATTTAATAGACAAAACAAAATAAAACCCAATATAGTAGTATATTGCCGGAGACCAATTCCAGCATGACAGCAGGGCTGAATCTGGGAATGGCTAAAGGCATTTCCCCAAACCTGAATAGGATACATTAAATTGATTTCTTGGCTGCCAGACAGCTCAGGGCATCTTAATCTACATGTTATTGCCTCCTACTGGCTAAACACCTGAACAGCCGTAGGCTAATTCCCCATTCTGACAATGCCTGTGTATACCCTTTGAAGTGTATATCCCTGCCTCGCCTCAGGACAAATTGTGTTAATAAAAAGCATGGGGTCCTGGGACGAGGAGACCTGAGAACTTAGAATTTAGGTCTTTGTTTCCTTTAAACTAGGCTCCTCTGACCCCCAAATGCCTTTCAAAATTAAGCGTCGTCTCTGGACTCCTATTTAATCTACGCACAGCCTTCTCCAGATTGCTGAACCCTTCTTAATGCTGGAACAAGAACCCCGGAAGTATATTACACAAGGTGTGTTTCTTTAAACAGAAACACACATAAAGGTTATTATGTAGTGACTGGTCGACAAAAATGTGAGCAGTCTGGCAGGAATCTAACTAACCCTGTATTCCCCTAGGAGCGCGGGCTCAGTATTGGATAACTCAGTGTCCGCTGAAACTTTGCAGAACAGGAGCACCGTGAATTAGGAGAACCGGCTGTGTATCTCTCTATGCATCTCAGATTGTATTGCATTGATATGACTGCTAAGAAGGCTCAGGGGAAAGGTCCAGGGGGGACCTCACCTGCCTTTCCCCTCGCCCCCAAGGCAGCTCCTGAGAGAGGCCCTGGGGCAGCCAAGGTTACGGGAGGAAAACCACCAGCCCAGCTGTTCGCCCGGTTCTCTTTCTGCTCTAACAGTCTGGCTTCTGTAACACGATCTGGAGATCTAGCAGCAAAAGCTCTGAGTGAGATAAGGAATGGTTGTGCTCAACTCCCCACACTGCTCTCTTATATGGCAACCTTGTGGGAACTAGAGAAGGCGCCCCTTCCCCAAGGCCTCGCCTGCCACCTGCTGGAACACTGCAGAATTGCAAGTTTATGATGTCCGCTGGGCGAAGTGCAGTGAGCCAGCACCCTCCCCCTGCCAGGATGGGGACTCACAAGCCTTCCTTTTGTCCTTCCAGGAGCGCCTTGAACAGGGGTTTGTTGTGAGGGATGGTCTGCAGGATGCTGCCATCTGAGCTCACGTGGCCGATGGCCCACTGCCCCAGGCGAGTGCAGCTGGGTCGGAAGATGTAGCTGCAGGAAGAGGCAGGTAGCATGGGGGTGTGTGTGTGGGGGGGGCAGAGAATGGTCAGCACTGTCCCTTCTGGGACTTCCCAGCCCCTCACACTGTTGGGAATCAAGGTGTCTAAGTTCTCACCCCCTTATAACCCGGCTTCCTGCTTTTTAGGCAACGAGACCTTGTGTTACTGTCTGCCCCACTTCCTCGCTCACCAGGGTTTAGACAAGGTTGATTCTGGCTTGGCCAATCGGTGCACTTCAGGACCCCTGACCACAGTGACGGGAGTCAGCCCTGGGACTTCTGCTGGGAGTTCTAGTGAGGTACCCCATTTCTGCAGGGGTAGCTAAGCTGGTAGGGTATACAGCTGGGGATTCTAGACTCCACGAGGAGAGGCCATGTCTGTGAACCAAGCTAACACAGACGAAAGCAGGGACTGGGGATAGATCAACAGGATCCGATTCTTGACAATGGCACGCCAGCTCCTGGACCCAGCTCTCCCTGAAGCTGGAAAGACACGTGGTCTTTTCAATTATGTGAATTAATTCATCCCTTTTTCTTTCCCTTTAAACCAGTTTGCAGTGCAACTGGGAAAGTGCTAATACACGTGCTGTCCTGGGGGCTCCTGCACCTCAGCCCTGCAAATGCTCACCAATCTGACCTCTTATTCCAGTGATGGCGAACCTTTTGAGCTCGGCGTGTCAGCATTTTGAAAAACCCTAACTTAACTCTGGTGCCGTGTCACATATAGAAATTTTTTGATATTTGCAACCATAGTAATACAAAGACTTATATTTTTGATATTTATTTTATATATTTAAATGCCATTTAACAAAGAAAAATCAACCAAAAAAATGAGTTCGTGTGTCACCTCTGACACGCGTGTCATAGGTTCGCCATCACTGTCCTATTCCCTTGACCTCTTGGTATTCTAGGGAGCTCAGCCCCTCAATTCTTAACTCTCTGCGGAGACCCAACAGCGCAAAGCTCCTGGCTTGAAATAATTTCAGGACTGAGGTGTCTGGCTCACAGTCTCCTACCCCAGATATGGGAATTCCTATTAAAAATATTTAATAGCCCTGGCCAGCGTGGCTCAGTGGTTGAAGCATCATCCCTCGCACAGAAGGGTCAAAGGTTTGATTCTCGGTCCAGGGGTACATGCTGGAGGCAACCAATCAATGTTTTTCTCTCACATCAATGTTTCTCTCTCTCTCTCTCTCCCTCCACTCTCTTTAAAATCAGCGGAGCCCTAGCCGGTTTGGCTCAGTGGATAGAGCGTCGACCTG